GTCTGGCTCTCTGGTGAGTGCATGTCCCCTATAGCAAAAATCTCTAAAAAAAAAAAAAAAGCCAGTCCTTGGGGGGCTTATATGCTGGAGGTGGTGGGAGTGGTGGTAGAGGTGGAGGAGAATACACAATTAACAAATGAGGAAGAAAAATACAGTCTGTCAGATGGTACTAAATGCTATGTAGGAAAATAGGAATATTCAAGAGGGTGGGTAGGGAAGACTTAGAGGGTGGTCAAAGTCTTAGGGCGAAGGTAGCAATGGGCACCTCTAAGGAGGAGGGAGTCATCTGGAAATCTCAGGGAAGTGGATTTTGGCAGGGGAAACGTGAGTGTGTGAAGGCCCTGAATGTGGGTCCACCTGGCTGACAAGCAGGTGGACGGCAGTGGAGACCACAGAGTGGGCAGACAGCAGAGGAGAGACGGGAACACCTGGGCCCTCTGCACCTGAGCCTCACTCACCTGGTGCATGTAGAGGGCATGCAGGCTCATCTCCGTGGATGCATATTCTGACAGCACCAGGCTTTGCAGCTGTCCTTCCCACACGCTGCTCCCGGAGCTGGCTGTCCTGGCATCCACCCTGTCCCTCCCAACACGGAGAGAGAGCAGTCATCAATGTTCCTGAGACTCACACAAGTTGCTGGGAGCTACCACAGGACCTTCCCATCTTGACCCACCTCTACTCACCCAGAGCCTGTCATGGTGCTGGGAGCCCGGCCTGTAGGGGCCTGGCCAGGCTGCAGAGGGGAGAAGGAGCGCAAGGCAGAGGCGACTTCGGCCCTATGCCTGGAGCCCTGTAGGTCTCTGGGCAGTGGGGGGCCCCGGCAGGATGAGCCAGCTACCACATTCGCAATAAGGCTCAGTGGCTATGAGAGAAAGGAGCGGGTGGGATACTCAGGGCAGTAGAGAGGCCTTGGGTCCCCTACTCTTCTACATCTCAGGATCCATTTGGCACAGACAGGACAGATAGAAGGAAACCTTCCACCCATGCCTGGTTTCCAACTCCCAGCTCTTGGAATCCACTTTGCCTATCATCTCTCCATGTGCCAGAAACACACCTCGGACTCGGACTGTAACGACTGGATGGATGTAAAGAGGGCATTTTCAGGAAGCAGACCCCCTGGGGCGAGTCCAGCAGCTGCTCCGTCCCGCTGAACCTGCTCCTTGAGGAAGCCCAGGAAGGCGGTGCTCTCCCGTGGTGGCTGCCAGCCAGGGTTGGTGATGGCAAAGTGCATGAGTGACAGCTCTGTCTTCCCGTCCTCGGCTTGCTGGTATACTGAGGCCTCCGTCTGCCCACCAGAGAGCCACTGCACAAGGGAGACCACGGTGACCAGGACTGTCCTTTTATAGGACCCCTCCCTACAGCCGTCCAGCCAAAGGGAAGGGAAGAGACCATGATGCACTGTTACGTCTGGTCCAGGGGCCCCAGTGCCACCCCACGTGTCGGAGCAAGTGCTTGTGC